TTCTACTGAACTTTGTATGCCATGTATTTAAATATATTTTTAATTACACATTTGTAATGAAGTTGCAAGTTTGTACATTTAAAGTATAGTAATTGTAAATGTAATATATGAAATCACCACAGTTAAAAATGTTTTACATGTGCTGTATTATGTTAGTCAACACATCAAAATAAGTGTACTTCTTTAAAGCATGACAAAATATTATTAAAACAGTGAAAACCGAATTACATTAAAGTGGCATTTTATTTCATTAATATGATATAATATCTGCAAGTAATATATAATAATATGATATTATCTGCAAGTACAGACTTTATTTTTATATAAAAAAAAACAACACTTTTAAGATTTTAAGTGTACTCCAAGTGCAAATTCAGTGGAAGTCAGTGCACTTCACAAAGCATTTTAGGATTGTCTACTCCAGAAATGATACATGTGATGCTACCTTTGCATTTGGCACTGTAATTATGCAACCCGATCTCATGAAAGTGCTTAAAAATACCACAAGTTTCTATTTCTATTTGGAGTACTATTTATACGCAGAAATTGAACTTTGGCGTGCATATGATACGCAATGGTTAGGATTAGGGGTGTGGGGTAGGTGCGTATTACATGTACGCCAAAACTGCATATCATATGCATGCCAAGACATTGCGTATCATATGCACACGAAAACTGTGTGTTATATGCACACCAAAGTCAATTTCTGCATATAAATAGCATGCCAAATAGAAACCAAAAATCGTGCTATTTATACGCATTTTCATGAGACCAGGCTTTTAGAACAGTTTCGAGCACTTGCAATGCCTTAAAATTCTGCCTCTGCAAGCAGCTCACTAAGTTTTAGTACAAAGTGATTGTGCTATCTCTCATTGTTAAAAACATGATCATCTCTTCAGCTCAGACAAACCCTGTTTTATTGAGCTGCAGTCTTAAGGCTGACTAATATTTGTTGTCCGCAACTCCCATGGCGGCAGCTTTCATCTATCTGCTGAGAACTTAAACACGATAACAGAAGCTAAATTGCCGTGTTGGGCTTACGTTTGTGCTTGGCTAAACAAAATGTCTGACAGATGTCCGTGTCATTCCATCTGCTGTTAATCCAAACAGCCGTTTTCTTTAAAAGCCCAGTCAACAGAAACATATAAACCTCGTCTCTGCCGCCCCAGCGGGAGAGGAGAGAAGATAATTGTTTTTTTAGTGGCCACATTTGTGCTGATGAGGTGAATTTGACGTGGTACCTCTACAAAGTGAGAGAAGAGTAGATTGAGTGAATCTTTAACTAGATCAGAGACTACTTTTAGTGGGCAGTTTAACACTCTGCCAGATGGTGGTGCTCATGCTACACTTCTGATTAAACAGAGCTCATTTTAGACAGTTGCGTTGTTAGGTAAAGTAGCAAGAAAATATGTAGTTGAATCCCATTAAAATATATCCAGGTGAAATTTGAGCTTGAAATCAATCTCAAAATAAAAAGAAAGAGTTATACAACACATCCATGATTCTCAGCTTTTGAACATGCACTTTTTTATTTACTGCTTATTTTTAACAGCTTGTCACATATACATAATTTATTGTATTTAATTATATTTACCTTAATTTTACATAAAATACAACAATCCTTCAGCAATTATTCTTTCTTCAGATGTTTCTTTTTTAATTATTTTTAAATACTTCACCTAAAAATTAAAATTGGACTTTAAATTCAATTCAAATCAATACAACACCATTATGTATGTTTAACGTTTAATAAAGAGTTTCAGCAAAACGTCCATGCAGTTTCAAAACATTTTCCTAGTACTCTGATTGGTTCTGGTGAAAAACAACTCTATATTCATGCAACTGTAAAATACAATCATGATAAACATCACTGCTCTCCTGTACACCATCCTGCACTAGTCCAGTAAATGGTGGAAATGCACCAAATGTTCTTTATCTGCTATTTAATAGCATTTGGCAAACTAATATAAATGTGCATTTCTGCCTTTTACAGTCTCCATTTAAAGTTTCCATTTGCTCTCTATTTAAGATAAGTGCCGTCTGAGAGAAACAATTAAGATTATTATCAAATTGTCTAGCTTAAGAGTAGTTACTTTGGTGCTGTGTGTTCCTGTTTTGTGCTCTTATGTGTTTATGTACGGTGTGTTAAAGTTCTCCTGGGCAGTTCGAAGTTTACGAGTCGGAAAGTCTTAATTAAGACATCAAGTGTGCTCAAGTCACTATGGTTGCAACAAAATGGCGATGCATCTTTTTTCAACAAGATTTTCAAACTCTGCATCAAAAAAAATGACAAATAAAGAATGTGCATCCGTGTGCTTATGATGCAACTTAAAGACAATTATAATAATTTAATTCATTTCAACAAATTTACCGTCAATACAGACACTGCATCTCAAATCTCACTGACACACTCCCAACTAGGAAACTCTGGGCTTAAAGAAAGTTCTGAGTTTCTCACTCATAATTTTGACTTTGTGGTGGCGTTCTTGTGAGTCAACTCCTAAATACGATCTTTCTTACATGACTTGCACCAATATTTGTTGCAGGTATTTCAATGAATCTTGATTCTCAGTAATGTGTTCCCATGTTATCAAAGTGAATCCAGAGAAAAAGCTTGGGAACACATGCACAACTAAAAGTGAGCCAGTCTCGCACATTTAGCTTCTGTGTTCCCTGTACAGTCAAATGTACAGCCGCCTACTGTTCCAGTCTTTTAAAAAAGAAAACGGGACTAAATCAAATTGTGACATGTGCGGAACTGCTTTACTGCAGCAAGCCTGAGGAGGAGAAATGCAGGGGTGATATTTCATTATCCTGTTACCCTCGGCACCCTGATGTTGTGCTCCTTTCACAATGAATGCCACATCTGCAACTGATATCGATGTTGCTTTTACAGAAGAATGAATGCTTTTAAAATGTCCCGACTGTGAAACTAAAGAAACCTACATTCACTTTACATATTTAAATCAAACCGCTTTAAAATATGAGGCGAGTAAATGATTAATTGTATGGTCACAAAGTAAATATTTATTTATTTATTTTCTGAACAAATTAATTTATTTCAATATTTTAGATGTTTTACATTATGTTTATTGACAGGGCTGTTCATTTTTTGGAATTGAATTGATAGTCTTTTACATTACAATTGAGTTCTTGAATTTGAACTGAGGTGAGAAACAAGATACAGAATTATAACTATAGCCTAAAGTATTTTATACAATTGTTTAGCCGAGCAAATGTATGTTCATTGAAGTTTTGTGCACCATTCAGAATTTGATTTAAACTGAAGTGGGAATTCCTTTTAAAATGTCAATTCAATTCCAGAATATGCAATTCAAATTTGAATGTACAGAAATGTAAAACTGTAATTTGAAAGAAGGTAGAAATTACATTGAAGGAATTCTACATAACTGCTGCAAGTTTTTAAATAATGTTTATTTGTTTGATGGATTTTTTATTTTATTTTTTTATTAATTACCCATGCACACAACACAACACACACACACACACACACACACACACACACACACACACACACACATATGGGATATTTATAGAGAAAAAAAAAGTCAATTTCATAGATTTCGCCCTGTAGAATTCCTTATTTAAATTACCATCATTTATGAACATTTCAATTTATACCAAAGACTTAAAAATTAACCCAAATCAAAAGATATAGGCTTACAAATTATATAAAGAATAAAGAATATTCCTGAGTAATCTACACGCACACAAAACAACACACACACACACACACACACACACACACACACACACACACACACATATGGGATATTTATAGAGAAAAAAAAAGTCAATTTCATAGATTTCGCCCTGTAGAATTCCTTATTTAAATTACCATCATTTATGAACATTTCAATTTATACCAAAGACTTAAAAATTAACCCAAATCAAAAGATATAGGCTTACAAATTATATAAAGAATAAAGAATATTCCTGAGTAATCTAACTGATAAAAAAAAAACATACATAAGAGGGAATAAGCAAAATTAGTGAAAATCAGTTATGTCGCAAAAATGCTCTTTATGTAGTGTTGAAATAAATAGAAAGGGTATCAGTTCCTAAATTTGGACTTTCTGCACAATCCTGGTTTGTATTTAGGTTTTGCTTAAATTAACTGAAACCATGTATTGCGCCCCCTTGTGGCAAACCGAAGCTCATATTGCCATAGTTAATTAAATATGCAGAATGTGTTTCATTATTAAAGTTTTGGACATTTATAAGCAATGTTCTAAATGGATAAATTTTCCTCACTCTATCCTGGTAGCAGCAAGCTCATTTTGTAACTCCAAACAGGTTTGATTTTCTCACAGGCACACAGCCTAGACCCCTGGTGACCTGTTTATTTAGGTGTGTGCTGATTAGAAATTCTCAAGCTGAGCTCCTTTCAGCACACGGTGTATGGAGCATAACAACTCTGCAATGCTCTAATGCACTTCTCTCTCTCCCTCTATCTCCAACATCAATTAATGGTGTAGTTAGAAAAGCACGTTTACCACCATGCCACCTTCATGAGCACAGGCTCTGCTGTAGCTAACACTAGCAGGTAACAGTTTCCATCCATCTGCTTATAGTATGTTCAAGACACACACTTTGATAACAGGGCGTCCTGACTTTGAGCAATGAATTTACGGCTTTTCTAAGACATTTACATTTGTTTGTGAATACTGATAACAATTTTTAGGTGGATTTCCATATGTATGCACAAATGTCTCAAGAAAAAGACACATTGCAAGATGTGAAGGTGATTCAGGACATGAATTGGCTTTCAGAGCCTCCATGCTCCCTTCAGTTGTGAGGACAAGCTTCAAATCTCATTCTTGTGATATGTGACAAAACTATTTAATTGTATGCTATTAATTTTAAATAGCAGCATTTCCCG